ACATAGACAGGTGTCGGGTTTTACAGGCTAACAAAGAAACCAAACAACCCCCATCCTAAAGTGGTGGACCCGTCCATCCGGTTCAATTTGCATGTTTTCCAAGCCAAAACAAGGCTCTGTTAGGCTACTGTATAAAACCTGGAACTCAATGCTATTTCTGAAATTTTGAATTGAAAAAGCTTCCTGGATGGAAGCAAAATGTCTTCAAACTAACAAACAATTGTTAGTTTGTTAGGATTGTTTTTTAACCTTTTTAAAATGACTATAACCAGCAACAAAACATCTTTCATAGATGCTCTAAGATAATTATTTTCAAAACAAATTAATAGTTTTAGACAGAATCGCTATGATATGTCTGTGTATGTGCAAAATATAATTTGAAAGAGGGAAAATGTTACTGAACTGACCTCCTGGATGGCTTTCATAACAACATGCTGCACAGACTCCTCCATGGTCATGATTATCTGAATGTATTCTGCCAACAAAGAAGAAAGTCATTTCATTCAGTTTCTGCTTCTAAAGCCACCAAGGCTGGAAAGATTCATCATTTGACTAAAGAAAAACGTGTTATACATCGATAACATGTTAAATCCATGACAGCAGACATATTGTACCTTGTTGTTGCTCACATCTGACAGCACAGCCCAGTATGAGCTGCAGCAACCTTCCCATCTCCTCTGGCTCAGAGTGCTCTGCTACTAGTGACATGTCCGGCAAAGGGAAGTAAGAAATGTCCTGAGCTAAAACCTGATGGTATACGGACATAAAAATGAGCATTCATGGACAAAACTGTTTTTAAATCAAATGAAAATAAAACTACAGCTGCAGACAGAAGGAATTCAGCTGGGACTATGGATAGCATACCTCACTGTAATAGTCAACCACTTTCTGAAGGATCTTCTTCAAATTGTTCATCTGAGAAGAAAAAGATAAGATAAACTTCCTCAATAGTTCAAGAATTAAGCAAAAGGACTAAATTACAATAAAAACTGTCCAGTCACTGGCCAAATGCAGGTAAATTAATGAACTGGTGAGTCCACATTTAACATTTCAATCAGAAAAGAATATTGTTCAAATTACGACTGACTGCAGGACAGCAATGCTCCTGAGTTGCTGCTTGTCTTCTCAGACTATCATTAAAGTAGAGAAACTGTACCTAATATTCTGGCCAATTAAGGGAAGGTGCCACACAGACTGCAAGTTTACAGCACAATACAAGAAGAAAAGACAGTTGTTTCCAACATTTCTGATTTTTCTTCTTCGTCATCCAAGTTTGACAGCAAAGCTGTTTCAGAAGTTGTTCACAATCCGTTGATTATGGTGATATTTATCACGAGGGTTGGGCACCAAGAATTGATAACTGATTGGAACTCGTTCTAACCTTTTAATATAAGCAGAATTGTCTTTTTTTTTTTTTTT